TCAGGTCATAGCAGCAATAGATCTCGTTTAAGATCCAGTTTGAGACGTACCCAATGGCATCGCACTGACTCAGGTCATAGCAGCAATAGATCCCGTTTGAGATCCAGTTTGAGACGTACCCAATGGCATCGCACTGACTCAGGCTGTTCGAAAGACCACAATTATAATCATGGTTGCCATGGTGCCACGAGGCAGCTTAAACAGAGAGCGCTCTGTAAAATTGGCACAATGTTCTGAATGTTCTGTTTTTATTGAAAACTGTTTCAGGGTCTGTACCTAATTTTTCTTCCAATTTTGTGATGCCCATTTTGTCGTTATGGTCCTGATTCTGTGATGAAATGGTCGGCAGACTCGTTGCTTCGCATTGTTACATGTCACACGTTATTTTAGAGGTGAGTGTGTTAACTACTGTTGTCATTATATCATGTATCTGCGCACCTTTTATTTCATATCAACAGTTTAGCTGTAACTCCGCGGTCCCTCCCGGAGGAAGGCAAGAGGGCACCCCGAAGGCGTCCCAAGAAGGTTTTTGGGGGAGCTAAGGAGGTGTTCGGGAGGACCGCGGAGAGAGCACCCACGGTCCTGGTGCTGCAGGAACGGCCCCCACTGCTCCGGGGCTGCAGACAGGGGAGGGAAACCCCTGGAGCTACAGCCACTACCCCCGCCGTGGGAAGACCCTTTTCTGCCGCCGACGACAGGGACAGAAAACCCCCGGAGGGGTTGGATGAACAGCCCTCAGCTGTTATTAGGACGTGGTGGAGGACATGGCTGGAGCTACAGCCACAAACCCCGCAGTGGGAAGACCCTTTTCGGCCACCGACGTCAGGGACAGAAAAACCCCGGAGGGGTTGGATGATCAGCCCTCGGCTGTTATTAGGACGTGGTGGAGGACATGGCTGGATTTACAGGAGCCAGCGCCTGAGATGGTCGCCACCACGCTTGCGCCTGAGATGGTCGCCGTCACGCCAGCGTTCACGATGGTTCCTGCCGTCCCGCCAGCGCCCAAGATGGCTACCGTCGTCCCGCCGGTGCTCAAGATGGCTGTTGCCGTCCCGCCAGCGCTCAAGATGGCTGTTGCCGTCACGCCAGCGCTCAAGATGGCTGTCGCCGTCACGCCAGCGCCCAAGATGGCTGCCGCCGTCACGCCAGCGTCACGATGGCTGCCGTCGCCCCGCCGGCGCTCAAGATGGCTGTTGCCGTCACGCCAGCGCCCACGAGGGCTCCCGCCGTCACGCCAGCGCTCAAGATGGCTGTTGCTGTCACGCCAGCGCCCAAGATGGCTGCCGCCGTCACGCCAGCGTCCACAAGGGCTGCCGCATCGCCGCCCACAATGGCTGCCGCATCGCCGCCCACAATGGCTGCCGCACGCCGCCCACAATGGCTGCCGCATCGCCGCCCACAATGGCTGCCGCACGCCGCCCACAATGGCTGCCGCATCGCCGCCCACAATGGCTGCCGCATCGCCGCCCACGAAGCCGCGCCACGACGACGCTCACGATGGCCGCCGCCACGACGCGCTCACGATGGCCGCCGCCACGACGCGCCACGATGGCCGCCGCCACGACGACGCTCACGATGGCCGCCGCCACGCGACGCTCACGATGGCCGCCGCCACGACTACGCTCACGATGGCCGCCGCCACGACTACGCCACGATGGCCGCCGCCACGACTACGCTCACGATGGCGCCGCCACGACTACGCCACGATGGCCGCCGCCACGACTACGCTCACGATGGCCGCCGCCACGACTACGCCACGATGGCCGCCGCCACGACTACGCTCACGATGGCCGCCGCCACGACTACGCTCACGATGGCCGCCGCCACGACTACGCTCACGATGGCCGCCGCCACGACACCGCCCACGATGGCCGCCGCCACGACTGCGCCCCGATGGCCGCCGCCACGACGGGGCGCCCACGATGGCCTCCCGCCACGACGTCGCCCACGACGGCAGACTCTGAGCACTGTCACGATTGGTGTGGTGGCGTTGCTACACGGACATATTTCGGTGATGCACTTCCTTGTTTCACTTCCGTGTTTACGTTTGTCTCACGGCTGTTTGCACTTATAATCAATGGGATATAAGAGGGTCGCGAGCAGTGCACTCGTTGCTTCGCATTGTTACATGTCACACGTTATTTTAGAGGTGAGTGTGTTATACTACTGTTGTCATTATATGGGTTTTGTGTAAGACGCTATATGCGCACCTTTTATTTCATATCAACAGTTTAGTGTTTGTCGCCGTTTACGGTTTGTTTTAAGTTCGTGTCTTTAAATAAACCTGTCAAAACGGATATACGACTCTGCACATGGCTTCCTCACGCACTACACCTTGGACGGACCTTGACAGAATGCGAAGCCCACAAAGAAGCCAGCGGAGCCAGCAGACGGTGAGTGGATTCCTCGGGGGCAAGCTATAGCGCCCGAAGGATGAAGCTCACCGTCGCACCACGGAGCAGTGGGACTGGGGTAAGCCGGAGACGCCCGAAGAGGAGTATAGGCGCCTCCGTGCTTACTTCGGGTATGAGCCACCGATGCAGCTATCAGGGCCGATTACATCGGGTCCGCGGTCCCTCCCGGAGGAAGGCAAGAGGGCACCCCGAAGGCGTCCCAAGAAGGTTTTTGGGGGAGCTAAGGAGGTGTTCCGGGAGGACCGCGGAGAGAGCACCCACGGTCCTGGTGCTGCAGGAACGGCCCCCACTGCTCCGGGGCTGCAGACAGGGGAGGGAAACCCCTGGAGCTACAGCCACTACCCCCGCCGTGGGAAGACCCTTTTCTGCCGCCGACGACAGGGACAGAAAAACCCCCGGAGGGGTTGGATGAACAGCCCTCAGCTGTTATTAGGACGTGGTGGAGGACATGGCTGGAGCTACAGCCACAAACCCCGCAGTGGGAAGACCCTTTTCGGCCACCGACGTCAGGGACAGAAAAACCCCCGGAGGGGTTGGATGATCAGCCCTCGGCTGTTATTAGGACGTGGTGGAGGACATGGCTGGATTTACAGGAGCCAGCGCCTGAGATGGTCGCCACCACGCTTGCGCCTGAGATGGTCGCCGTCACGCCAGCGTTCACGATGGTTCCTGCCGTCCCGCCAGCGCCCAAGATGGCTACCGTCGTCCCGCCGGTGCTCAAGATGGCTGTTGCCGTCCCGCCAGCGCTCAAGATGGCTGTTGCCGTCACGCCAGCGCTCAAGATGGCTGTCGCCGTCACGCCAGCGCCCAAGATGGCTGCCGCCGTCACGCCAGCGTCCACGATGGCTGCCGTCGTCCCGCCGGCGCTCAAGATGGCTGTTGCCGTCACGCCAGCGCCCACGAGGGCTCCCGCCGTCACGCCAGCGCTCAAGATGGCTGTTGCTGTCACGCCAGCGCCCAAGATGGCTGCCGCCGTCACGCCAGCGTCCACAAGGGCTGCCGCATCGCCGCCCACAATGGCTGCCGCATCGCCGCCCACAATGGCTGCCGCATCGCCGCCCACAATGGCTGCCGCATCGCCGCCCACAATGGCTGCCGCATCGCCGCCCACAATGGCTGCCGCATCGCCGCCCACAATGGCTGCCGCATCGCCGCCCACGAAGGCCGCGCCACGACGACGCTCACGATGGCCGCCGCCACGACGACGCTCACGATGGCCGCCGCCACGACGACGCTCACGATGGCCGCCGCCACGCGACGCTCACGATGGCCGCCGCCACGACGACGCTCACGATGGCCGCCGCCACGACTACGCTCACGATGGCCGCCGCGACTACGCTCACGATGGCCGCCGCCACGACTACGCTCACGATGGCCGCCGCCACGACTACGCTCACGATGGCCGCCGCCACGACTACGCTCACGATGGCCGCCGCCACGACTACGCTCACGATGGCCGCCGCCACGCTACGCTCACGATGGCCGCCGCCACGACTACGCTCACGATGGCCGCCGCCACGACTACGCTCACGATGGCCGCCGCCACGACACCGCCCACGATGGCCGCCGCCACGACTGCGCCCCCGATGGCCGCCGCCACGACGGCGCCCACGATGGCCTCCGCCACGACGTCGCCCACGACGGCAGACTCTGAGCCGCACAAGATGGCGGACTCTCTGCCGCACTAGATGGCGGTCTCTCTGCCGCACTAGATGGCGGCCTCTCAGCCACTGAGGCCTTTTCAGGGCTGGACCTGCGGTCCTGGACTGACCCTTTTGGGTTTGACTGCGGGTTCTCTCCCTGTTGCTCCCTTGTCTTGGTTTTGTGTTTCCGTTCGGCTATCTGGGGAGCTAGCCTTTTAGTGGGGGATACTGTCACGATTGGTGTGGTGGCGTTGCTACACGGACATATTTCGGTGATGCACTTCCTTGTTTCACTTCCGTGTTTACGTTTGTCTCACGGCTGTTTGCACTTATAATCAATGGGATATAAGAGGGTCGCGAGCAGTGCACTCGTTGCTTCGCATTGTTACATGTCACACGTTATTTTAGAGGTGAGTGTGTTATACTACTGTTGTCATTATATGGGTTTTGTGTAAGACGCTATATGCGCACCTTTTATTTCATATCAACAGTTTAGTGTTTGTCGCCGTTTACGGTTTGTTTTAAGTTCGTGTCTTTAAATAAACCTGTCAAAACGGATATACGACTCTGCACATGGCTTCCTCACGCACTACACCTTGGACGGACCTTGACAGTAACATGGGTGTAGTCAGTCTGTGTATGTGTGTATGTGTGTGTTTGTGGATTGTGGAGTGTGAGATTGTGTGACAACATATCTGGACAGTCTCGTGTGTGGGCAGGTATTTCATAATATTATTTCAAAAATAAAAATCCTCTTGTAAAGCACCTTTCAGAGGAATATCAGAGTTCTCAGCCAATCAGCATCCAGGGGTCGAAACACGCCATTTATAACGGCTGTTACGGTAAGCTGTTATGTCTGACTTATTTTCTTTTATGTATATGTATTTTTTAAATAACCAGGTAAGCCGATTGAGAACAATTTCTCAGTTGCAAAAGCGATCTGGGGAGCAGCTGGGATTTGAACACAGGGCGTCATACACAAAGCATGCAGTCTACCACTGAGCTACCAACTGCTCCTTTTAGGTGAGTTTACAGAAGACCTAGCTTGAAGAGAAAACCACCGGTAACCGAAAGAGAGACGTTTTGACTGTGGGAGACGTTCCTCGATAGTTACTAAGTTTACCACAAACGTAAAACATACAGTAGAGCTCAACGAAAAACCCATAACCCAAGACCAGAATGAACTGAGTGGTTAAATAAGACCATCACCCAAGACCAGAATGAACTGAGTGGTTAAATAAGACCATCATCACCCAAGACCAGAATGAACTGAGTGGTTAAATAAGACCATCATCACCCAAGACCAGAATGAACTGAGTGGTTAAATAAGACCATCATCACCCAAGACCAGAATAAACTGAGTGGTAAAATAAGACCATCATCACCCAAGACCAGAATGAACTGAGTGGTAAAATAAGACCACCATAACCCAAGACCAGAATGAACTGAGTGGTTAAATAAGACCATCATCATCCAAGACCAGAATGAACTGAGTGGTTAAATAAGACCACCATCACCCAAGACCAGAATAAACTGAGTGGTTAAATAAGACCATCACCGAAGACCAGAATAAACTGAGTGGTTAAATAAGACCATCATCACCCAAGACCAGAATAAACTGAGTGGTTAAATAAGACCATCATCCAAGACCAGAATAAACTGAGTGGTTAAATAAGACCATCATCACCCAAGACCAGAATGAACTGAGTGGTTAAATAAGACCATCATCACCCAAGACCAGAATGAACTGAGTGGTAAAATAAGACCATCATCACCCAAGACCATAATGAACTGAGTGGTTAAATAAGACCACCATCACCGAAGACCAGAATAAACTGAGTGGTTAAATAAGACCATCATCCAAGACCAGAATAAACTGAGTGGTTAAATAAGACCATCATCACCCAAGACCAGAATAAACTGAGTGGTTAAATAAGACCATCACCGAAGACCAGAATGAACTGAGTGGTTAAATAAGACCATCACCGAAGACCAGAATAAACTGAGTGGTTAAATAAGACCATCACCGAAGACCAGAATGAACTGAGTGGTTAAATAAGACCATCACCCAAGACCAGAATAAACTGAGTGGTTAAATAAGACCATCACCGAAGACCAGAATGAACTGAGTGGTTAAATAAGACCATCACCGAAGACCAGAATAAACTGAGTGGTTAAATAAGACCATCACCGAAGACCAGAATGAACTGAGTGGTTAAATAAGACCATCACCCAAGACCAGAATAAACTGAGTGGTTAAATAAGACCATCATCCAAGACCAGAATGAACTGAGTGGTTAAATAAGACCACCATCACCCAAGACCAGAATGAACTGAGTGGTTAAATAAGACCATCACCCAAGACCAGAATAAACTGAGTGGGTAAATAAGACCATCATCACCCAAGACCAGAATAAACTGAGTGGTTAAATAAGACCATCACCGAAGACCAGAATGAACTGAGTGGTTAAATAAGACCATCATCACCCAAGACCAGAATGAACTGAGTGGTTAAATAAGACCATCATCACCCAAGACCAGAATAAACTGAGTGGTTAAATAAGACCATCACCCAAGACCAGAATGAACTGAGTGGTTAAATAAGACCATCATCACCCAAGACCAGAATAAACTGAGTGGTTAAATAAGACCATCATCACCCAAGACCAGAATGAACTGAGTGGTTAAATAAGACCATCATCACCCAAGACCAGAATGAACTGAGTGATAAAATAAGACCATCACCCAAGACCAGAATAAACTGAGTGGTTAAATAAGACCATCACCCAAGACCATAATGAACTGAGTGACTGAGTGGTTAAATAAGACCATCACCCAAGACCAGAATGAACTGAGTGATAAAATAAGATCTTCATTTACCTGAGCATGACACGTCTCTGTGTCAACACATGTGAGGAAGTTAAGACAGCCTGAGGCGAAGGAGGAGCTACTGTTAATGCTCAGCGTGTGTCAAAAATATACATTGTATACACCAGAATGTCTGTAAACCAGTACAGGACTGTTTTCTGAAGCCCATAAGGTACTCTCAGTGAACTGTAAAATAATGCCAGTTATTAAGTAAAAAAAACTCCTGGTTGCCTTATTGACTGTCATGTAGTCTTGTAGGTCTGTGAGGCTCTTTATTTGAATCTTAATTAATTTCAAATCCATCATCACCCCCCAGTCCCCCCAACCCCCCCCGAACCCCCCCCCTCCGGCCCTATGTTAACTCAGTTAGCCCCACACAGTATCATGTTAAGTTCCAATTTGCAGAAGTGACCTAATCTTCCTAAGGCCATGAGACCATTGTGTCAAATAAATTACATCTTAATGACTGTCATATCTACACACATCTCGTTATCAGTGTAGACCTCCCCCCCGTCTGGGCACTGGGCAAGTCCAAACCCAATTATCCCATTGCAGAATCAAGCCACGTCTCGATTAGATATGCAGATGAAGGGTGGACCATACTCATCATCAATCCAACACACATTTACACATTCACAGATTTATACATTAACACATTTATATATTTACACATTTATACATTTATACATTTACACATTCACACATTTATATATTTACACATTTATACATTTATACATTTACACATTTACACATTTATACATTTATACATTTACACATTTACACATTTATACATTTATACATTTATACATTTACACATTTATACATTTATACATTTACAGCTGTATACATTTATACATTTACACATTTACACGTGTATAGATTTATACATTTACACATTTACACATGTATACATTTACACGTTTATACATTTACTCATTTACACGTGTACACATTTATACATTTACACGTGTACACATTTATACATTTACACGTTTACACATTTATACATTTACACATTTACACATTTGCACATTTACATTTTGGTCATTTAGCAGATGTTGTTATCCAAAGCGATTTAAAAGAATCCACAAGGTGGAGTGTATTGCTTAAGTTATAATCAAATTCAACCTTTTATTCATTCATCTAACCCACCAACATCTAGAATATCTGAGGCAGTCAGTATACGTTTCTCATGTACCTTATTCTAAAAGAGTAGAAACAACCACGTGACACCTTGAGGGCATATTGTATGTGGAATATATACTACACAGCTATAGCTGAAAGCAGCATCCAAGCACTCGGCATTGTGTTGTGCCTAAAATCCCAAAGCTGTGTGATGTTTGATTTGATAATTACCGGTGGAACTCATCTGTCCGGTGGACATGATCATCTCCTACGACAGGGTCACAGTAGGTGTTCCCCTCTCTGTCCCCCGCGGGCCCCTGCACCCCGTCCTCGTTAGCATGGGTTTCTATTTAAACACATGGGTACGTCAGTAGGTGCGCCCGAGCCCTGGAGGAGCCAAGGAAGCCAGCGAGGTGACAGAATGGTCCGGTCGGTTGGGATGTAGCGCGGAAGTTGGGACGCCACGTTTAATTACGCTGTGATGCTGATGATGTGACAGGCTCTGGACGCACGCTGCGACTGCTGATGTTGTCGACCGGCGTCATGACAACCTCTCACATGCTTCTCTCACTTTATTTCTTCCCTTTTTGTTCGTCTTCCCTTTTTTTCTCTCTCGTTCGCACTCTATTCTTTTTTGCCGTTTGTTTTTTCCGTCTGCTTTGCCCTCTCTTCAGCTTTCTCTGCCTCTCACTTTTATGGATACTTCCTGTCTGTAGTCGCGTCTATTTCAGCTCGCCGTTTCTTTCCTCTCCAGCCTCCATGCCGCCTGTGTTGACTTTGGTGTTAAATTCTATTGCATAACCGCCTGTGTATTTTTGAGATCATCATTTCAGACAGGAGATTAGGGAGTTTAAGTTTTTACTCCATTAGACGAAACTATGGCAACATGGGCTCTCTGACCTTTTTAGATTAAGGAAGATTGCTCATTTGTGGTGATAAAACTGTGTTTATCAGCTTTCACCGATCAACCGTGACTCCACCTGGGCTGCTGTAACCCAGTCCCTCAGACATACGGCGGAGATCTTCTTTCTCAGTAAGTCCAATTGGCCCAGTAACTTCAAACTGAACCGTGATCGGTGTCACAATTGTACTTCAGAATATCGATCTGGGAACGTAGGCGTTCGTGAAACCCACTTCACTAGAGCAAGAAAACAAACCTCGCTGGAGATGTGTCACTTGGTCTTTTAGAATTCGGTCTCTCAGTGAAAATTCAAACCATGATAGTGTGTGAGTGTAGTGTTGCATTGAACCCACTAAACGACCACACCAGAAACATTTACACAACTAGACCAAAACGTTGAATGGGTCATTTGTGATGTTGCATCTTCTGACAACTGTCTGCCAGTTATCTATACAATGAAGTACAGGACGTATTTACATTATGAACTGTCATCACATTACCAGACTGTCAGATAAAGATGAAATTTGTTATTTTCTGAGGGAACAGATTTAAGGGTTTCTGGGTACATTTGTATGTGCAACTGCATATGTTACTGTGTGTGCGTTTTTTGTGTGTGTGTGTGTGTGTGTGTCGGTCCATCTGTTTCTGTATGGGTGCTTATGTGTGTGTGTGCGTTTGTGGTGTTTAAGGAGCGGCTCTTAGAGAACCTTGTGACATCAATCAAAGTGTGTAGTAGTCTGTGTGGGAGTTTTTATGGGTTCTGCCCATCTCTCTCTCTCTCTCTCTCTCTCTCTGTCCTCTTCTTCTCTCTCTGTCCTCTCCTTCTCTCTCCTCTATGTCCTCTCTTTCTCTCTCTCTCTTTGTCCTCTCCTTCTTTCTCTCTCTCTCTCTCTCTCTCTCTGTCCTCTCCTCTCTCTGTCCTCTCCTCTCTCTCTCTCTCCTCTCTCTGTCCTCTCCTCTCTCTGTCCTCTCCTCTCTCTGTCCTCTCCTCTCTCTGTCCTCTCCTCTCTCTGTCCTCTCCTCTCTCTGTCCTCTCCTCTCTCTGTCCTCTCTGTCCTCTCTGTCCTCTCAGTTCTCTCCACGGAAACATGATGGTCGACCAGGACAGCAGCCAATCACAGTC